ACATGTCATTAGGTAACACCATAGTTAGGTGTAAGCCATTAAATGGTATGTCTATATGAACATCAATGTTTCACAGCGATGTTGGTGCACAGGAAGCTCTCACAACTACCAGCATCGAATAACGCTCTCAGTTTCTGCATTGATGCAGATCTTGACTGCGGAGTCGGAGAGATTGAACAACGATGATAATGCAGCAAAGGTCGATGCGCTTGGATTTAGTTCAGATAATTTGCTTCTGGAGTGGATTGTGGACGTTCTTTTATCCACAAATTAAAGACTGCTTCTCGTGATAAGCATTTCGACCGGGAACGTCGATGATTACCGCAAAAGAACACCTGGTGGCAACAAACACAGTTACGTCTTTGATCTTCGATTGCAAATAGGAAACTAATTAAAGTGGTGTGAAAGTGGTGGAGTCGTTCCGGTTTGTCGGGGCACCACAGGAAACGTGCGAAACTGAATCCTAAGGGATCGACTGTCTTTGAAAATCAACCTCGTAATATAATCATCACGGATGGCTTCATCGTGATTTCTCGGCGAAAATTGCGACGAAGTTGCAATCTTTATTGAGAAATCTCAGTTTTTACGTAAGTTTGTCCCGGTTTTGCAAGTAGACTTCGTGGGTACACCTTGTTTTTCCGTTCAGCATAATACCCTTTGGGAGTTCTAATGACGTTTTTGTGATTACTACAATAGATTATATGTTGTTAGACAAACAGATAGGTAAAATTCACTAGCAAAATTTTCCAGGTAGGGTTAGATCGACTGCAGACATAGAGTTACCGGAGTCTTTTGTGTCAACGAATGCGCATTTCGGAGGCTAACGAGGACGAGGATCAGTATCAAATCGTTCCGGACGAAATAAATGATACATTTCGTTCAGAGAGAGAGAAAAAGAAAATGAATACAGATACAGAAGCACAACCAAGCCCGAACTAAAATATAGTTGTATTTGTTCACGGTTTGTTACTGATCCCTTTCTAACCAATTCATCAATCAATTCTAATAGTTTACCTCAGAGGTAGGTAATCTCTTCTTCGTGGCCGTCAGATCTCGTTCGCCCACTCACTAGCTATCTTCGCATGCCATATATCTTGCGATAGAGAATTTCATACTTCCGGTTGTGACCGATCGTTGCACTTCGTCAACTGCCCCCCATACGACCAAGCGTCTCAAACAGCTTGTGATGGGGAAACTCTATTCACTGCTTCCATGTGGCGGGGTTGATTCCCCACGAAAGCTAGATTATTAAAAGCCGATACCCGGAGCTATAACTGCGTAGGTAAACTACCGGAAGTCCACCTTGGGGAGTTGGCGATAAACCCTGATTCCAAACTAAGCGAGACGACGAGTACGGAAAAACACCCCAAACTTCTTACTTCTGGCAGGGTTTATCAGCTTGATCGATCATCGGGGTGTGTTTGGCAGCGTTTTTTTATTACGCAATGTGAATTACAGTAAAAGGGGGAAATTCTCATAAACAAATAGCCTACTTCAAAAGGGAGAGCATGGGAACATTCACGTAAGATCCAGTTTATTAATTCTGCGTTTAAAAAGTGTAAGGTTGTAAGTGGGGGAAAAACAGCAAGTGGGAGGGTGTCCACAGCCTGGCAGTTCAAAAAAAAGAAGATTGAAGCAGAGAAATACGAAAGCTGGGAGCAGAAAAATGATAAGGATGACTAGATGCTTGTGTACGGGATGGGCGGGTAAAAGTTGCAGGAAGAGGAACTGCCGAGGCTAGTTGCGAAGAAAAAAAACCAAAATAGTAACGGTAAAACAGTGCCAATGAAGCAATTGCCCATCGATGGGCTAGCGACTGCAGACTGGATGTTAGGAAAGGATCATCGATTAGCCGGATGGCCTTTCGTTGAACACGATCCAGAAGGGAAAGAGAAGAAAATGAAGCCCAACCCCACACGTGACAATAGTATTCAAGAGCAAGGCGGATTTGAGCTTTGTACAGTAGAAGAAGATGAGCTGGGGTGAAAAAACGTCTAGCGCGAAACAGAAATCTAGCCAGTACGAGAAGCAAGCTTAGCTATAAAAGGGACCAGCATAAAGAATAAGTTATAGGCAATCCAAGAAGAGAAACAGAGTCTGTGGAATGCAGTTGGGTGAAATTAAAAGAGAACTGGGGNGTTTTAAGGAAATTGAAAGAAGAGGGGTTTTAGAACTGTTGAATGAAACGTGGTTTGTAATGCCCCAGGAGGAGATGTGTTCAAGATCGGAGTCCAGTGACAGATTAATTGCACTACGGTCACCGTCGATGTTGGTTTGGGCATGGCGAGTAGTGCGGTAGGATAGGGAGCAGTGGAGGTTGACGTCATCAGCAAAAGAATGGATAGGGGTAACAGTTTTGGAAATGAGATAGTTGGTGCATAGAAGGAAGAGAGTGGGGAGCACCAGCGTTCACAGGGAATGGCTGAAATAGAACCGCATCAACACGGATGAAGATGGTTCGCTTACTGAGGAAACTTGATATCCACGCTACGAGCGCCGGAGGGAAGCCGAACATGGGTAGTTTCGCCAGTAGACCTTCATGCCAAACTCGGTCGAATGGCCTTAGAGATGTCAAATGAGACCAAGTGTGTTTCTCCGTGGTTATCGAGTGAAGCTGACCAGGATTGTGAGGCAAGAGCCAGCAGGTCATCGGTGAAACGACGCTGTCGGAAACCATACTGACGGTCGTTCATTAGTCCTTCACGTTCATGGAACGCGCGTAGCTGGGCAGAGATGGTAGTTTCAAATACTTTCAAAAGAACAGATGTGAGGGAAATGAGTCGGTAATTGTTNAGTTGTTGGGGTCAGAAAGGTGGCAGCGTTTGGAAATGGGAAAAATCACGGTGTGTTTCCAGGGAGTTGGAAAAGAAAGTTGGAGGGAAAGACTGAAAAGTCGATGAAAAATAGGAGCCAATTCGGGAGCACACATTTTGAGGACGATGGATGGAATAACATCCTGACCGAGGGGTGGGGTTGTCTGCGTTTAGAGAGCGCAATGTTTGACGTATTTTCCCAGTGCTAATACGAGATAGAAAAGGATTGTCAGTGAAGGAGGAAGGAGGTGGAGGTGTAGAAAAATGGGGTAAGGTGGAATTGGTGGCAAACTGAGAAGCAAAAACCTCAGCTTTCTCATGTGGTTGACATGCAAAATCACCAGAGGAATTAAAGATAGGGGGAAATTCGGAAGGACAAATTACGGGAAATGGCTTTGGCAAGCGACCGGTGGTGGACGAGACCAAGCCTTCGGCTTTACAGCGGACGAAGCGTCCTTTGGTTTTCCGAATAGTCGTCGAGCATTTGTTCCTAGCTTGCACGAAGCGGTGGT